GATATCGAAGTATATTCATATATGCATACACAATGGAACTACCTATAATCACATCGACGCATATTTGTCATTGACGGTTACCTTCATGACTTATTGGTGCACGGTACCTCTTTCTACACAATCGGCTCCATTCACTTATCTGGTTAGAACTATCCATATATCGGACTGTAAACATCGCCCGGTCGCACCTGGGAAAATAGAGTCCTACACATGCTCCTAATGGAACAGAATGAAAACACTCTTACCATGATGATATATCAAACTTGTAAATATCGCATCAAAAGAGGAGGATTATTGTTTGAATATTTCTTGCTAACATATTTTTCACTGCCAGATACGCTCAGTATTATTCAATTTGTTGGGAGCGCTATCACAACAACAATCTACTCAGAACCTCTCACACCTTTACTATATAGGTCTTTTCTTCTATGCGCATAGCTTAACCTTCAAGAAGCAAGCCCGGAACAATCCAACACGCGCGGAAAAAAATACAGCTAAATGCAAATAACGCCAGCATCTTTCATAACATTTTGATAATACTGCACAGAAGTATGAACTTATCGTAGCAGAGCCAATTTTGTCACTATACATTAGGCATCGTTCATTTCAGAGACTGATATTGGTCTGCTCAAACGGCTTCCAACACTGTAAAAATATACATCTAAGTACTCTTATCGGGATTTATACTCGTAGCACAGCTTGTTGATCGAAACATGCCAGCGTCATCGTTAAACCATGCGGAATTTAGAACTAGTGAACTTTACTTTTTAATATACCTGATTTTTTTTATTTTGTCTTGTCCTCGTAGTTGGTGTACTCCATCGATAGAAGCGACGGACATATAGAGTTTTGTGGGTTCTCCGGATCATATATGACAGTAACTTTTGAACCTTCTGGATAATTCGTCCGAGCCCACCTGTGATGTGACCATAGTCGTTTGTAAAAGTAGACATTAGCGACATGTTCGTATCTAAGATGTTCTTAATATGAACACGTCGAGTAAAAATAGGTCTATCTTGTTTGTATCGACATAAGAGAGCTAGGAATAAAGCTTTAAACTCCAGATTGTGTTTCCTTTAAACACCAGGGTGCGTGCGCTATATGTGTCATTATGAAATATGAGTGACAATTGTATTCCGATCCCGAAGAGTATAGTTATGAAAAATGATTCGGTATTTCAATCACAATGACTTACGTAGAGAAGGGTGTCGACTTCCATAAGCCCTCTTCTTCGCGCTGACTTCCTTCAGGTTTGTATGACCACTCAATGCGGGATGCGGGGAAGATGAAAACCGAAATGGTATAGTCGGGAACAGATGCTGTTACGACACCTTCGATTTCTGTGCCGTATTTCATTATTTGCTGGCTTCGATATACTACAGTACGCAAGACCGGGAAAGTGTATCAATAGGAGAAAATAAGAGCGTAAACATTTGTCATGCGATCCCAAATGGCACTTAAGTGAAGGTGCTAACACTCGCTAGTGTGGATTTAAACTACAAGCAAGCACTATATAGCATAGACGATCTTTTAACACTAATGAAAGTATACGCAAGATCGCAAAAAAAGGTTAATGGTCCGCGCAAAATAGCGAAATGTATGAGAAACAGTGAACAGCTGGCATGCTGTGCTTGCACATACACCTACCGGGATACAGGAACCCGATAATGCAGGCCACTCCTAATAGAATGAAAGCAGAGTTTGCAATGATATCTCGTCCCCTGTATTCCAAACCGTAGTGAGGCTCGTCCCACTCGAAACTATGGCTCAAAATTGCGTTTAGACCCATAGCACCTGAAGGAAGGTAAATTGCACGTAAAAATGTGATCGGGTAGTTGTATAATAATAAAATTGAGCGTTTCAGAACAAATAAGCATCTCAGTCCCTATGTTCGTACTGTGTGGGCTTGACTCCTAGCGTCTCAACGTTGATAAAGACATCAGTTATGTTATGCAGACATATGATACTATAGTCTGCACGTATAACCGCAGATATGATTGACATCGCTAGGTAGTGAGCTATCAAATTACCTGGCATAATAATTAAGATGCTGCAAATCGCCAGGACATAGTTCAAAATATTTAAGGTCATCAACGAGACCGTATCGTACTTCCTCACTGGCTTTGAAGGCCTCGGCCTGGGAGGGGCAGGTGATCCTGTGTGCGTTTTGATAAGTAAAATATTAAATATGCCCTGCCAAAAATGCACTAGATCTGATTGAAACTAGCTGGTAGCTTCCGAAACTTCTTAATTTGAATTGTTGACTCGATGATGTATGGAGGTACCGATAGGGATCAGTTGATACAGACAAAACTGGCAATTAATATCGAGCATCTATGCATCCATCATGAACCACGTAGAATGATATCTTGTGCGTGATTGTCCATGGTCATACACAAACACATATGATCATGCATGTCCGTGTATGCTCATGTATTACCGTTCAGATGGGGGGAAAATCCAGTGATATAACGAGCACATAGAAAAGCGAACGTAGATTAGTGTACAACTTTCTGCATTTATGTACCAGATATCTCAAAAAACCACCCCCCGATTCAGCTCTTCCGCGAAACACACATCGAGTGATTCCACATGTCAGAGTAATATTTGAACAATGAATATAGTCACTTGTTTTACAGTCAGATATACGTGTATTAAAGATGCCTGTGCACTTGATTTCGCGATGGATAAACAAAGACCAGGACATACCTCTGTTTTTCCGTTTCTCGGCGTATTCGTCTTCCATATTGTAAACATATATCGTCATGCATAGTAGCATGAAAAATCCCAGGCCAAACAAAATAGCTAGACGCCATCCTTGACTAATCTCGCCTATGTGTTGTTCTGTGAAGTCAAAGACTTCATCAGCGCCGGATCGGATGATCCCACCGACTGCATCGGTAGCCGAGTTATAGTACTCTAACGCTGTGTCGACTAAAGGATTGAGCATACTGATTGTATATATCAACTTGACGTATATTAAAGTGCTTTGATTACGTGCGTATGCGTGGGCCGTGGTTTTAGTAGGTGTATTTATATGATCGATGGATCGGTCACATCAATCCGAATGCCTCATAAGTAAAACAACGTAAACTTGATCTAATTTATTTGTTATCATTTGGCTATGAATTTTTAAGGCTATGTATGGTAAACGTGTCCAATTTTTTGGGTTTATAAACGGTATAACGTTTATATGGCATAGACAGTGACACCTGTCTGTTTCAATATAAATATAACGTTTTGAGCGCTTTATGTTATATCAACTACAAGAAGTGAGAGAGTAAAATATTCAACAAGTTTTAAATAAAAATATATATGTGTATAAATAAAATATTTGTTTTGCTTCCGGGACTGATTTCACCGATTTGACTGATTTCGGACGACCTCTACGAGTAAATATGAGAGGCTCTGCTGTGTTTGGGTACACTCTACACACCTTCGGGCTTCGGGCTTCGGGCTTCGGGCCTGCGGCCTTTCCGCTCAAAACAAAATTAATTTTTAGAACAAATCCGTCGTAGTTTCCACTTTCCATCTCTGTGAGTCAGAGTAGCGGTGTTTTGTATTATGTACTAATATCTCCGGGGAAGTCGGGGCTCAAAGAGTCGGGAGAACGTTTTTGGAAGAAAAAAATTGTGACAGATGATTTCAATGATTTTTTTATACCTGCTGGTCCTGGTCCTGGAGCCTGGTGGAGCTTGGTGGAGCCTCCTGGAGCCTGGAGCCTGGACTCCTGGACTTTTTTGAAAAGTCTGGTCTGGCGGCTGGCCTCTTTTCAGTTTTCTCTCGGCCGGGGAGGGGAGAAGAAAATGAAAAATCATCCCTCGACCGCTCCTCCGGAACTCGATGCCTTCAGAGGGACCCCCTTCCTCCAGAGGCCAGAGGTCATGCCGTCAAGGCAGAGAAAACGGAGAGTCATGTATTTGTGCTTCCACGGCACTTTGTACACGGTGCAGACCCAATCCGTACCACAAAGCTGGGTACGTTACTTAGTAGGTCAGCAAGCGAATATGTGGCAAACTCGATGGTGTCAGTTTTTTGTCAGCACTGGCCTGAATTGACCCAGCGCATATCTTCCATTGTCGACTCACTTGGCCCAAGCTTCAAACGGTAATTTACTGACCACTTCTTCCCATCGATCTTCCCCGAACCACTACAAGAGCTATGAGTGACATAACATACGTACATACATTGTAACTAATCTCCTTTGAAATAAATAATATAATCCCTATGCGGCTGCGTCGCCCCGTGGGCTCACTGGGCTGTAGCTAGCGGGCTTCAAATATATATTTATTGTTTTATATCTGTGCGCGTTAGAATTTCCCTGTAAACACAGTACATTATAGAAACCTACTGTCAAAGCAATTTTATGTAAAAGGTTTATCATTATATCTGACAATATCAAGCAACCAGAAGGACCTTCATAAACATGCTGAAGAGCAATTTCAAATGCACTCTGATTAGTGTACAACTTAGTATGTAGATTGAGAGTACAATATACAATAGCGATCAAGACGTTCCGAGCAATACAGTTGATCGGGTGGTCTCGGATCTCGCATTGTTCATCCTCGCTAGTAAACAGAGTTATCTTTTGCTTCTGTGAGTGGCAATAACACTACGGGGGTGTAGCGAAATCAAATAAACTGTCTCGGCAAGATGTATATTGCAGGATACGAAGAAGAGCAATATAGTGGTAGTTGGGTGGTGCAGCGCTAAATGCGACTACCTGATTAATATTGGTCAAGTTTATTGTGATCGCAGGATAGTGCAGTGTATACAGCAGACTGCGATGCTTTCCGGTGAACGAAGGACTAGTAAATGTATCAAATTATAAAGAAGATCCAGGTATACAATGTTTGGTCGGAAGGTCGAGAGTGGCAAGTGTCAAAGGTTTCTTATGTAGGCGGCTTAAATAAAAGTAAAGCAATAGGTCCATCTGAGTGTTGAATCGCACAAAACCAGACAATATGAGCTACTAGCCCGCTGTGTAAGTTTCTTCGGTCTATCAAGGCGATATTAACGCTTTAGAGTAATTAAATGCTTAGGTTAAGTCTAGGTATAGTTGAATTCGAAATAAATAAACGAAATGTGTCTTTTAGTAAATTTAGGTATGCCTCGTAAAAACAGCAATACTCTGAGGGATTGTGAGAGTGAGACATTGCCTATATATAATCCTATAAGTACTGTTTCCGCCGAAGGGATTTTATTTAGCGTTTTGTTGTCGCTCTATTAGAAACTATGGTATGTTTCGTTGGGACTAATCCGAGAGACTCATAAAATCCTATCGTTAGAAGAAGAAGAAAAAATGTCCTTAGGTATTGCATTAACCAATAACTTGCCACTTATCACGAATTACCGACTTAGCCTTCATCAGACTGGCACATCTGGTGGGCTGAACGGAGATTAAACTAGGTAACGCTATTAGTCCCTAGAAGCCTATATTCGGTTGAGCCATCTCGCTACCGAAGTATTCAGATATAAATAGATTTGGAAAGTAAATATAGTTCTATCAATAGAACTATACCAAATCTTATGTTTGGTATTTTACTGGGACCTTTTGATGGCCTTGTCCAAATATCTGATATCCAAAAAGGAAAAGGTATTAATTAATAAAAACTGTTAAAACCCATTTTAGAAAACTCAGGTTCCTCGTACTATTAAGAGTACGTTTATAGTTTATGCACTGCTTAAGAGTACGTTTATAACATAGAGTCTAATGTGGAGGCCCGGCTATTACACTGTGTGTTTTGGGCATAGGTACAGTAGGTCCGTGGTGGTCGACTGGACATTTCTTACGCTTCAGTGTCTTAAGCACATATGAAGGATGAACATTAAAGCTCGGGATAAATGCTGTAAGCGGATAAGTTTTAACTTCAGTGCCTTCAGACGATGAAAACATGCTATATTTTTTGGCTTGTGACTTTTGCAGGCGTTTACG